TTATCTCCCTCCTTCTGCTCACTCTGGGCTTTTCTTGTTGCTCTCTTTCTAATTCTTTGAGTTGTAGAGTTAGATGATTTACTATCATTTTTTCTTGTTTTTTGAGATAGGCCTGTAGAGCTATAAACTTCCCTCTCAGGGTTGCTTTCATTGTGTCCCATAGGTTTTGGATTGTTGTGTTTTCATTGTCATTAGTTTCCAGGTTGTTTTTAATTTCTTCTTTGATCTCATTGGTAACCCAATCAATATTTAATAACATGCATTTCCGCTTCCAAGTGTTTGAGTATTTTGGGTTGTTTTTATTGTAGTTTATTTCTAATATTATGCCCTTGTGGCCTGAGAAGATGCTTGGTATGATTTCAATCTTCTTGAATTTGGGGAGACTTTGTTTGGGACCCAATATGTGGTCTATTTTTGAATATGTCCCATGCGCCCCTGAGAAGAATGTATATTCCGTGTCTTTGGGGTGAAGTGTTCTGAAGATGTCAATTAATTCCATCTGATCTAGTGAGTCATTTAGGATTGCTGTTTCTTTGCTGATTGTTTGTCTAGAGGATTTATCCAGTGATGTCAGTGGTGTATTAAAGTCCCCTACTATGATTGTATTGTTGTCGATCTCTCCTTTGATATCTTCCAGGATTTTTTTTATGTATTTGCGTGCTTCTGAATTGGGTGCGTATATGTTTATCAGGGTTATATCTTCTTATTGTATTGATCCCTTTAGTGTTATGAGGTGGCCTTCCTTATCTCTTGTTATGGCCTTCACTTTGAGGTTTATTTTGTCTGATATAAGTATTGCTACCCCACCTTTTTTTTTCATTTCCATTTGCCTGAAAGATATTTTTCCATCCCTTCACTTTCAGTCTGTATGAGTTCCTTCTTCTGAGGTGGGTTTCTTGTAGACAGCAAATGTATGGGTCATGTTTTTTTATCCGTGTAGCCACTCGATGTCTTTTGGTTGGAGCATTTAGTCCGTTTACGTTTAAAGTTATTATTGAAAGGTACTTGTTTGTATCCATTTCTTTTTTTGTGTAGCTGTTTTCTTTCTGAGCTTTTAATTTCTTCTTTTTACACCAGTCCCTTTAGCATTTCTTGCATTGCTGGCTTGGTGGTGATAAACTCCCTTAGCATTTTTTTTGTCTGTGAAGCTTCTTATTTCCCCTTCAGTTTTGAATGATAGCCTTGCTGGATAGAGTATTCTTGGATTCAGTCCTTTGCTTTGCATCACTTTGTAAATTTCTGTCCATTCTTTTCTGGCCTGATGTGTTTCTGTTGAGAAATCATTTGATAATCTAATGGGAGATCCCCTGAATGTAACTTTCTGTCTCTCTCTTGCAGCCTGTAAGATTCTCTCTTTGTCCTGAACATTTGCCATGGTAATTATGATGTGTCTTGGTGTGGGTCTTTTCGGGTTCACCTTGTTTGGGACTCTCTGTGCTTGTGTGATTTTTTTTCTTCCCCACCTCTGGGAAGTTTTCTGATATTATTTCTTCAAATAGGTTTTCTAACCCTTGTTCCTCTTTCTGTTGTTCTGGCACCCCTATTATTCATATGTTGTTTCGTTTCATGTTGTCCCATAGCTCCCTAGGCTCTCTTCCTGTCTTTTAATTTTTTTCTGCAATTGCTGTTCAGTTTGGGTGTGTTTTGTTTCCCTGTCTTCTAATTCAGTAATTCGGTCCTCTGCTTCTCCTAGTCTACTGTTGAAACTTTCAATGGTGTTTTTTATTGCAGCTATATCACCCTTCATTTCTTCTTGTTTCTTACACAATTTATTGATTTTTTTCATCTGTTTCTTCTTGCTTCTTGCATAAGTTGTTGATTTTTTCTTCCATCTGGTTTATGCACTCTAGAACCCTTAATCTGAATTCTTTTTCTGTCATGTTGCATGCCTCTGTATCATTAGCTGTTTTTCTGGCGAGTCCTCCTTTTCTTTCCTTTGGGGGTTTCTTTGTCTACCCATGTTTTATCGTACTGCCATATCTAGATGTTGAGTCGTTCAGTGGCTGCTCCTTGGTGGCAGTGGCTCTTCAGGCTGCGGTTGTTCCTTGGGCGGTTGTGGTAGCAGCTGCTCCTCAGTTGGTAGCAGCTCCTCTGGTGGGTGCTGTTCACAGTTGTGGTGGTGCCTCTGGCTCGTGGGGGGAGGCTTCACACACAGCTGCTGTTCCTCAGACAGAGGATATGGTGATCAGGAGGCTGCTGTTTCTTGGATGGGGGCGCACTACTCAAGCAACTGCTACCCCTTAGAATTGTTACTTTTAATCTCTTAAGTAACCTCAGGGCAAGGTGTTTTCCAATAGGGTGTGTCAACTGTCTTCCCCCCAGGCAAGGCAGATGTCTATCTCCCCAGGCAAGACAGATGTCTATGTGGCTGTGTGAGGGAATGACTGAGCCGAGGAGACTTGGGGTGTCTGCCAGAGCACAAGGTGGGTGGCTCCACAGGGAATGTTTGTGCCTTGGCCCTTTAAGAGGGTGCCTGAACTTTCAGCTGCCACTCCCTGGCAGACAGCTCCCCACTGCTTTTCACAGCTTGATGTTATGTGGATACCCTCCTCAGCTTGGTGCTCTCTGCTGGGGTGCCCAGCTCCGGGATTAGATCCCAGAATTCTCAGTGGCACCTCCCCCCCTCCACCACTGGCTGAGATATCTCTCTGGGACTTCAGTTCCCCTCTGTGGGTCACGTCTCTGCCCCTCCTACAGTCTCTATGCCGGCTCCACCTTTGGTCCTGGGGTATCAGGGTTCTCTCCTGTGAGTTTTCCACTGATTATTCAGGAAGCCCTCTCGTATTTCAGTTGTAATTCCAGCTTGTTCCTGGGAACATGACCATGCAGCATCCTCCTACTCTGCCACCATTTTTAATCTCTCTCATTGTTTTATTTTTTTTAATTTACATTTCCCTGATGATTTGTGATGTTGGACATCTTTTCATATACCTGCTGGCCATGTGTATGTCTTCTTTAGGAAAATTTCTATAAGGATTCTGTGCCCATTTTTAAAATTGGATTGTTTGATTTTCTGCTATTGAATTGATATGAGATCTCTACATATTTTGGATATTAACCTTTTATCAGATTTATAATTTTCCGAATATTTTCATTCAGCAGATTGCCTTTTCATTTTGTTGTTCCTTTTGCTGTGTAGTTTTTAATGTGATATAGTCCCACTTGTTTATTTTTGCTCTTGTTGCCTTTGATTTGGTATCAAGGAGCTTTCCATCTATGTTCTCTTCTCAGAGTTTTATGGTTTCAGGTCTTACATTCAAGTCTTTAATCAATTTTGAGTTAATTTTGTTAATTTTTGTGTATGGTGTAAGATTGTTGTCCTGTTTCATTAATTTGTATGGGCTATCCAGTTTTTCCTTCACCATTTATTAAAGAGACTATCCTTTTCCTATTGTATATTCTTGGCTCATTTGTTGTAATTAATTGATAATACATAGGTTTATTTCTGGACCTTTTGTTCTGTTTCATTGATCTATATTTCTCTTTTTATGCCAATACCATACTGTTGAATTCCTATAGCTTTTTTATTTATAGTTTGAAATCAGGGAGCATGATGCCTCTGCTTTTGTTGTTCTTTCTCAAGATTGCTTTGACTCTTTGGAGTCTTTTGTGGTTCCATACAAATTTTAGTATTGTTTGTTCTATTTCTGTGAATAATGCCATTGGAATTTAACAGGGGTTATATTGAATTTGTAGATTGCTTTGGGTACTGTGGACATTTTAATAATACTAATTTTCCAACCCATGATAGTTTCACAATAAACTTTTGGTAGGTATTTATATAAATGAATATGAATGATATGAAATATGTAATCTTCATATTAATTTTTGACGTTGTCTTTTATAATTCAGTATTTACTCTTGTTTAAAATTTATTTTAATATGTCAGTTATTTCCTAAAGTTATTTACTAGATTAAAATATTGTATAGATACTGTACATCAAAAATTGGTTCAAATATATACATGTTTATTAGCCCTAGCTGGTTTGGCTCTGTGCTTAGAACATTGGCTGGAGGACTGAAGGGTCGCGGGTTTGATTCAGATCAAGGGCACTTACCTCAGTGCAGGCTTGATCCCTGCCCGTCCCCTCCCCTCCTCTCTAAAAATGAAAGGAAAAAAATATCCTTGGGTGAGGATTAATTAAAAAGAACACACACACAAAAAAAAATAGGAACCATTGCAATGAAATTTCTCTATTTATAATGTGTGTGTGCGTGTGTGTGTGTGTTTATATGACATTAAAAAAATTAAATCCTAAGGGAGCTCTGCCATAAACTTTAAAGATATGGATTGTGCAAATATTTGAGTTACTACTTAGTAATTGAAGCCTTTCAATGTATTCTTTGCTGTTTGCATCCCAGTATTCTCTCTCATTGCTATGTGTTCTAATTAATGAGAGAAATAGTATCTGACGTGCTTCACGTTTGTATACTTGGCCACTTATTCACTCAGACACTTGTATCGTTAAGCCTCAGGGTATATGAGTGAGTAGGGTATGATGTTGGAGAAATTCAAGACATGGACAAACATACAAAATGTGAGTTCAACTAAAAGATAGACCTACCAAGATGTTTAGCACTTAGATTGTTAAATTAAATATGCTAGAGTTTATTATATGTAAATGTTTGAGCAGCTTCTAAAAGTACAATGGAGTATGGTATTTGTATATAAAAGCATGTTCTATTGTGTTTTAAAATGATATTTCATTTACTTTCAAGAGATTCTTAGCTGACCTTCATTGAAGGTAGGGAATTAATGAAACATATTAAACTGAAAACAAATGACCAAAAGTGTTCATGGTAATGATTGAAACATGGACATATATGCAGAGAAATAGTTTCAAAATATTCTTTGAAATGAAATGAACTTGAAATTTGCTTGCACTATTTTTCTTAATATTTCTGTATATTGATCTGGAGCTTTTGTATTAAAAGAGCAAGTGTTCTGTTATAAAGACTATATTCAGTGTCAGAAAATTTGTTACTTTTATTTTTTGCAGGTGGTTTCAGACACCCTCACAGGTTTTCTACCATGCAGCGACTGAACATGGAGGAAAAGATGTATATCCAGGGCAGTGTCTGTGGGAAGGTTGTGAGCCTTTTCAGCGACAAAGGTTTTCTTTTATTACCCACTTACAGGTACACTTTCTTAATACTGTTTGGTCAGTAACTCTTTTGCAGTAAAGGTTTTGATGCATATTCTTTTACTTCCTCTTTCTCAAAAAGGATAAGCACTGTTCAAAGGATGCCCTGCTTGCAGGATTAAAACAAGATGAACCAGGACAAGCAGGAAGTCAAAAACCTTCTACCAAGTAAGGAACATGAGTTTACTTCCTGTTGTATATACAGAAAGAAAAATCAGGAAAGTAGGCAAAACATATTAACAATGAAATTTAACTTTAGCATAGTAGGAAACTGGAAACCTGAGTTCTGGTCCAGCTCTGCCATTCACCAGCTATGTGACCCTATTCAAATTGCTTAGAGTATTTACTCTAAGCATCACTTTCATATTTATATGAGAAATATTTTGTAAACTGTAACTATATACAGGGGTGGACAAAAGTAGGTTTACAGTTGTTTGAATGAAAAATAATGCAATAATTAATAAATAATACAAGTATAAACTATCACATTCACAACTGTACACCTACTTTTTCCCACCCCTTTTTTTTATTCTTTGAGAGTAATTGAACATGTATTTGATAATGGCAAAGAGATTTCTTCTTACAATTCATATACTTGTAATGAATGTAGTGGAGTTCTAAGTTGCAGATTTCTGTAAGTTCCTTATTAGATTTATATAGTATCTCCTATTCTGTTTCTGAGGGCCTTAGTTGTAGATTCTGTAACCTGAATAATATTTTTAACTCTGAAAATGTGAAAATTAATTTGCCACCACTTACTAAGATACTGCAATATACTAGGCATTGTGCCAGACCTAGGGAATTCTAAGAATAAGACATAGTCTCTAACTTTAGAGCTGATATTCTAGAAAGAGAACTAGAAATATGGGAGTACAGAATCTGCTTACATACTTTATTCAGTTCTGTTAATGAGCATCTACTATGTGCTAGACACTAAGGTATAGAATGAGGTATACATGACCACAATACATTTTGCTGTTCTTAAGTGTCTGGAGATCCATCAGTGAGAGGTGTAGGTAATTCTTACTATATAGTATTAAAGTACTAAAATGAAGGTGCACAAGATACTATGAGAGCTCACCTAAACTAATCCAGGGAAGGCTTTCTGACAGAAAGTACCTCTAAACTGAGACCCAAAGAATAAGGAGTAAATAGTAGAAGGTCTCATAAGCTATAATCATGAGATTGAGTTTTATCCTACAGGCAATAGAAAGTCATTTTTCTGCCAAGTATCTTTTCCTATAATTTTCACTGTCTTTAATTTGTATATATTATGTAGCTTATAAGAATATGTTGGAATATGTTTGGTTTTGCTCAAGTTTGGAGGAAGAGATATTTGATGTGTTGATTACAATCAATCGAAAATCTTTGTCATCGTATATAATAAAAGCCTAATGTGCTAAGTGTCCAGTCGTCCTGTCAGATGTTCTACCAATCAAAGCGTAATATACTAATGAATGCTAAGGCCACTCACCGCTCGCTATGACGTGCACTGACCAGGGGGCAGGCAGCCTACCGGTCGACCAGTTGCTATGACATGCACTGACCACCAGGGGGCAGACACACTGACCAGTAGGTTAGCTTGCTGCTGGGGTCCAGCCAATTGGGATTGAGCAAGATGGGCCAGACACACCCTGGAGCCCTCCCACGACCCCTCCCCAGCTGGCCAACCTCCCACGTCCCTCCCTGGCCCCAGTCATGCACCAATGGAGTCCCTTGGCCTGGCCTGCATCCTCTCACAATCTGGGACTCCTCGGGGGATGTTGGAAAGCCGGTTTCGGCCCGACGGCGGAACGACCAGTCACTATGATGTGCACTGACCACCAGGGGGCAGACACTCAACACAGGAGCTGCCGCCTGGTGTCAGTGTGCTCCCACAGAGGGAGCGCCGCTCAGCCAGAAGCCGGGCTCATGGCTGGCGAGCGCAGTGGTGGTGGTGGGAGACTCTTCTTGCCTCCGTGGCAATCGGACATCCCCCGAGGGCTCCTGGACTGCAAGAGGGTGCAGGTCGGGCTGAAGGGCCCCCCCCCCCCCCCCACGCCCAAGTGCATGAATTTCATGTACTGGGCCTCTAGTTTACAAATAAAATCTAGTAACAGTAAATATGTAGATATTCTTTTCTTTTGACAACTATATGTAGTTATAAACTGGTTTACAATTCAAAGATTGCTTTTACATTAACTTAATATTCAGAATTAGTTTACTTATGTAAAAAAGTGCCAGAAATATCCCCACTTTACATATGTGAAACCTGAAGCATAGAGGGGCAAACTGAAATATTCAAAGTCATACAACTAGTTATTGTGCCAGAAATAGACAGATTTCCCCACATGCAAGTCAGTGCTCTTTACACCATGGCCTCGGCAGAATACAAAAGCTATTAATGCAATTTTCTGCTTGGCCAAGGAAATCTAGAGTCGCTTGAATCTAATTTTAGGTAAAATTCATTCCTTCAGTCTGAGTTTTAAAAAGGATGTTAGAATTATACTGGAAGGGTTGATTAGAGTTATTAAATAATGGTGGAAAATAAGATTATATAACAAATACTTTGAAGTATGGTGTTTAACATAATTTCATCCTATATAATAAAAGAAAAACATGCAAATTAACCGCCCCTCTGCTATGCTAAAGCCACGCCCACAAGCCAATCAGGAGTGAGTATGCAAATTAACCCACCTAAGATGGCAGCAGCCACAGAGCTGGAGTGAGCAGGAGGCTTGGGTTGCCCGGGTGATGGAGGAAGCCAAGCTTCCCGCCTGCCCTGGCTGGTCCTGGGCTCCACTCAAGGCTACAAAGTTCCAATTATAGAAGATAAATAAATCCCAGAAAGAAAAAAAGGAGAGGCTGGGAGCTTGGGTTGCCGGGGGGCATGGCCAGCCTGCAAACAGCCATCAGCCCCTCACCCAGGCTGGCCAGGTACCCCAGTGGGCAAACCCCACCCTGAAGGGGGTGTGGCTAGTCTGAAAACGGCCCTCAGCCCCTCACCCAGGCTGTCCAGGCACCCCAGCGGGACTCCCACCCTGATCTGGGATACCCTTCAGGGCAAAGCAGTAGTCCACCCGTGCACCAATCCACTATCCTATATAATAAAAGGGTAATATGCAAATTGACCTCAACAGCAGAATGACTGGTCACTATGACACAGCCAGAAGCCGGGCTCAGGGGGCAGACACTCAATGCAGGAGCTTCCCCCTGGTGGTCAGTGCGCTCCCACAGGGGAAGCTCTGCTCACCCACAAGCCAGGCTGACGGCTGCCAGTACAGCAGTGGTGGTGGGAGCCTCTCCTGCCTCCTCAGCAGCTCTAAGGATGTCTGACTGCAGCTTAGGCCTGCTTCCCGCTGGCAAGTGGACATCCCACGAGGGCTCCCGTGCTGCCAGAGGGATGTCTGACTGCCAGCTTAGGCCCTATCCCCCGGGGAGTAGACCTAAGCCAGAAGGTGGACATCCCCCGAGGGGTCCCAGACTGCGAGAGGGCACATGCTGGGCTGAGTACCCCCTCCCCCCCCCACCTGAGTGCACAAAGTTTTGTGCACCGGGCCTCTAGTATTATTATATTAGGTTACCTTTTTCTGGATCACCCATACCTATGTCAATACATTCTTGGGTAATATTATTTTAGTCTTGGTATTGTTTAGCCAAAATAATTTGCAGCTCAAATTGCAGACAATGTTTTTATTTGTTAACATCTTCACATTACATTCAATGATGTAAACTCCACAAACTTTGGTACTATGGTGTAATTTTAAATTAAATTTATTGGGGTAACCTTGGTTAATAACATTATATAAGTTTCAGGTGTACAACTTTATAATACATCGTCTGTATATTGCATTGTGTGCTCACTGCCCAAAAGTCACTCTCCTTCTATCACCATATATTTAAGCCCCCTCACCCTCTTCATCCTCCCCCTCTGAAAACAAACATACTGTTGTCTGTGTCTATAAGTTTGTTTTTTATTGTGTTTTTTTCCATTTGTTGCTTTCTGTTTCATATCCCACATATGAATACAATCATGGTTTTTGTCCTTTTCCATCTGACTTATGTTGTATTTATTTTTACTGTATGTTTACTAGCACAGTAACTTTAAAAATGGATTATGCTGGAACATCTATTGTTTGCTTTAAAATTGGTAAATTGGAAAATAAAACACTTGAAATTTCACCTGAAACTAAGAGCCCCTTTGCCTAGGCGACACAAAGAATAAATATTAATGCTGGGCCATGGGAGATTTTATTCATCCTGTATCCACCTGGAGTTGGCAGCTTGGTTATGGTCAGTCTGCAGCATCGTGTTAACAGTCTCTTTTTCTGTCTGACAATTTAGGCAGCCAGTTGTAGGGGGCACAAGCTCAACTCCTAGAGCACAAAAGGCCATTGTGAATCATCCCAGTGCTGCCCTTATGGCTCTAAGGAGAGGATCAAGAAACCTCGTCTTTCGAGATTTTACAGTAAGCAAGCCTTGAAAGCCTTTCCTGTAAAGGTGTGAGCACTGTGTGATTTAGATCTTTATTCTTTTCTTTTCCTTTCTTTTTAAGGATGAAAAAGAGGGACCAATAACTAAACACATCCGACTAACAGCTGCCTTAATATTAAAAAACATTGGTAAATATTCAGAATGTGGTCGCAGGTGAGTAATCTGTTTTCCATAGCCGAAATGAATTTAGATTATTTTACTTTTCTTATAAGGTAATGAAATTAGATATCTATATTTTATTCACTGTTTTTCTCAGGAACTTTGTATGTCAAAAAGCTTATGCCAAGGTCAGGCCATCGTGATCTCTTAAAAGCCAAAAAATAGAGAGAAGTTGAAACTACCAAAAGGCGTTCCTTTAACTTGTTTTATTATGTTAATTTTCTTGGTAGCCATAGACTTTAGAGTAAAAAGTATATCTGCTAAAGGGAAAACTTACGGAGGGAGGAATGAATTAATCATTTGAATTATGTGGGATTAGATTAAATTCAGTTTGTTAATTGGCATTTTAATGAAGCTATCAAAGTTAACATTTACTATGATATTGCTAAAGTGTTAAAAAAGTTACTTTCTAATGGACTTAACCAAGAGAAAACTCGGGATTTTGTAGGTCCTTGAACGATGAAATGTTCTCTTGATGCCTTTTGGACCTTGTCTCCCTTGAAACTTAACTGGCTTCTCTAGTATTCCTCCCATATCTCAAGCTACTTTATTGAAAAGTTGTCCTCTAAGGCATCTTGTCTTCCAGATAGTGAAGATAGTGACTTTCTAACTGAGTCTCTCTTCTCTCACATATATAGTCCCTAAATATATCTTTTTTATTATTATTATTATTATTATTAGTTAAGGTATTACAAATGTGTCCTCATCCCTCCCATTAACCCCCAACCTCCCCCCCACACACACACATTCATGCTCCCATCCCCCTGTTGTCCATGTCCATTGGTTTGGCTTATATACATGTATACAAGTCCTTCGGTTGATCTCTTCCCCTTACCCCTGCCCTCCCCTACTTTCCTTCTGGGGATTGATAGCCTGATTGCTGTTTCTCAGTCTTTGGGTCTGTCCCTTTTCATCAGTCTATGTTGTTCTCTATAATCCACAAATGAGTGAGATCATGTGGTATTTATCTTTCTCTGACTGGCTTATTTCACTTAGCACAATGCTCTCCAGTTCCATCCATGCTGTTGTAAAAGGCAAGAGTTCCTTTTTTTTTACCGCAGCATAGTATTCCATTGTGTATATGTACCACAGTTTTCTAATCCATTCATCCGCTGATGGGCACTTAGGCTGTTTCCAAATCTTAGCTATGGTGAATTGTGCTGCTATGAACATAGGGGTGCATATATCCTTTCTGATTGGCGTTTCTGGTTTCTTGGGATATATTCCTAGTAGTGGGATCGCAGACTGGTGCAGCCACTGTGGAGAACAGTATGGAGCTACCTCAGAAGACTAAAAATGGAACTCCCATTTGACCCAGTGATCCCACTACTAGGAATATATCCCTAAATATATCTTGATTCTACCTTAGTTCTCCTTCCTTCTCCTCATTTTGCCTTTTATGATATTTCTTGCAATAACCTTGCAACTGGATTTTCCAAACATAAAAACAATGAATTTACCAAAAAATTAACCAAAAAAAGCAATGAATTTGACTATATCAAATTTTAAAACTTTTATAAATTAAAGATGACTAAAACTCTTAGAGCTAAAGAACTTTTGCAATGACAAAAGTTACTATATTTAGTGTATCAAGTATTCTCAGATGAGTATGAAAAATTCTTAATATTCGAATTTTTAAAAAATAAAGCTTTTCAAAAGAAATATGAAGGTTTAGTAACCACATGAGAGCACCGGTGTCTTCCTGTTTAATTTATAACATGATTTCTTCCTACCTTTCTCACTGTTTTGCCCTCCCACTCTTCTTTTTGCTGCATAGCCTATGTTTAAGTTTCAGCCACACTAAATCACATGCAAATTCCTAATCATGCTAGACTTTCATGTTACACTTTTGTACATTTGTTCCAATGCTCATTGTTTATTACCCCTTGCCTGGACTACCCTTCTCCCTGTGATACCTGCCTATTAAATATCTGCAGACTCTTCATAATTCAACTTAGACATTAGCTTCTGTCTGCCACCTTTCTTATGCCGTGTTCCCCTTCCCCACCGAGTTTGTTGTTCTCTATTTTTATAACATTCTGTCTCACAACATTTAATATTACTTTGTAAATCATTTTGATATTACCTTTTTCTCTTACTGACCTCTGTTCTGACTTTCTCTGATTAATATCTGTAGCCTGAACACCTAGCACAATGCCCAATACATTACAGGTAATCTCTACTTCCTATTCATATTTAGGATTCAACTCAAGGTGACCTCTTCCTTTCCTGACATCTTTCTTACAAACCTACTCCTGGTAGGTACTCTCTACCACTGCACACATTGCTTGTTACCACCTGAGTTCTTTGAAAGCAGGGGTTGAACATTTATTTTGTGTGTGTATCCTTAGTGCCTAGCATACTGTTGGGAATGTAATAGTGATTCAATAAGTATTTGATTGATAGACAGATGGAAGAAAAGAAGTCTCACAAATTAACTTTTTCGTAGAATCTGTCTGAAATTTGTGTAGGCAATTAGAATTACAAAAGTAATTTTAAACTTTTTCTTAGGGCTTTTTCCTCACATTCTTTTTTTTTTTTTTTTTAATCTTTATTTGTTGAAAGTATTACATATGTCCCCTGTTTTCCCCCATTAACTTCTAGCCCGTCCTTTCCCCCAACCTCAGGCCTTCATCACCCTACTTTCTTTGTCCATGAGTGACACATACATGCATACAAGTTCTTTGGTTGATCTCTTTTACCCACCCTCCCTGTCTTCCCTCTGCAATTCGACAGTCTGTCCCATGCTTCTGTGTCTCTGGATCTATTTTGTTCATTAGATTCCTCACATGAGTGAGATCATGTGATACTTATCTTTCTGACTGGCTTATTTTGCTTAGCATAATGCTCTCCAGGTCCATCCAAGCTCTTACAAATGGTAAGAGGTCTTTCTTTTTTATAGCTGGGTAGTATTACATTGTGTAGATGTACCACAGGCTTTTAATCCACTCATCTGCTGATGGGCACTTGGGCTGTTTCCAAATCTTAGCTATTGTAAATTGTGCTGCTATGAACATAGGGGTGCATATATTCTTTTTAATTGGTGTTTCAGGATTCTTAGAATAAATTCCTAAGAGTGGGATCACTGGGTCAAATGGGAGTTCCATATTTAATTTTTTGAGGAAACTCCATAATACTGTTTTCCACAGTGGCTGCACCAGTTTGCATTACCACCAGCAGTGTACTTTGCCAATGATTCATCTGATAAGGGGGTTTATTTCCAAAATGTATAGGTAACTCATACAACTTAACAAAATGAAGGCAAGCAATCCAATTAAAAAATGGGCAAGGGACCTAAATAGACACTTCTCCAAAGTGGACATACAGAAAGCCAAGAGACATACGAAAAAATGCTTAAAGTCACTAATCATAAGAGATGCAAATCAAAACAACAATGAGTTATCACCTCACACCTGTCAGAATGGCTATCATCAACAAATCAACAAGTGTTGGCGAGGATGTGGAGAAAAGGGAACCCTAATACACGGCTGGTGGGAATGCAGACTTTCCTCAGATTCTTTTTGTTTTTAATGTGTTCCTATTAACTTTTAGAGAGAACTAGAGAGAGATAGAAACATCAGTGATAGAGAAACACTGATCGGCTCCTGCATGCCCCCCTAACTGCGGATCAAGCCCAAAACCCAGGCATGTGCCCTTACCAGGAGTCGAACCAGTGACTTGGTGCATGGATGCCACTGAGCGATACCAGCTGGGCCACATTACACATTCTTAAGCTTACAGCAATGACACTTTGGCTGGCTTGAATATAATTATTGGGCCAAAAGTTTTCATTTTACTGTTTTTATGCTGTTGTTGATTTTGTTATTTTATTTAACTCTGAACCTCCCAAATGTCTTCTGGCATCTTCAGTTTCTATTATCTTAATATGGCAGAAGCAAAAGAATTAACACAATCCACTAAATTCTTTCCATTTACCTTCCCAGTCCAGGTTGGAATCCCCATATAGAACATCTATACTGATGAGGAGTTTTGCTTGAGTTAAAATACTGAAAGAGAATCTGGCAAAACATATATATGTGGGGAAGAGAGTGTAGGAAATCAGATAGCTGCACAAGATAGTTCTCTGATGATACTTCTCGTCTCTGGTGAAATAAGTTACTGGTTGTGGTTTGTTTTTTTCTTAGACTAAAGCAAATTCTATTTGCAGTAAAAAAAAAAAAACCCTGCAGCACAAAAGGAAGATACATGGATATTTACCTTTATTCTTACAGTACATCATACTGAACAACATGAAATGTCAGTATTTTTAAAATTTGAAATTCAAAATGCTTGAATAGTTTAAGATGTTTAAATGCAGTTTATCTCCATTCTGATTAAGCATGAGCACTGGAGAATTGCAATGTATTTCTTTTCCTTTTGATGCATTTATTTTGTATCAGTGTAATACCGGGGTCTTATTTAAAAATCAAATGGTGCCCTAGCTGGTTTGGCTCAATGGATAGAGCGTCGGTCTGTGGACTGAAGGGTCCCAGGTTCGATTCCGGCCAAGGGCACATGCCTGGGTTGCAGGCTCGATCCCCAGTAGGGAGCATGCAGGAAGCACCCAATCAATGATTCTCATCATTGATGTTTCTATCTCTCTCTCCCTCTCCCTTCCTCTCTAAAATCAATAAAATATATTTTTTAAAAAATAAATAAAAATCAAATGGTACTTTTCTATACACTAATAATGAATGGTTCAAAAAATAAATTGAGAACAATTCCATTTACAATAAATCAAAAGAATAAAATATATAGAAATCGTATTAACCAAGAATATGGAAGACTTATATACTGAAAACTATAAATCATCCTGAAAGAAATTAAAGAAGACATAAATAAATGGGGAAATATCCTTTTGGAAGATTTAATAGAGTTAAAATGTCAGTACTACCCAAAGCAATCTACAGATTCAATGCAACTCTTATCATAATCAAAATGACTCTTTTTAAAAGAAAAATCCATTCTAAAATTTGGAATCTCAAGAGACCCTA